TTTCTTTATCATAACATTAACACACACACTGTCTTAACTAGAGATGGGATCACAAATGCTCACATAACCGTTATACGAAATCCAAATATTTATTCTGTTTCAAACATCATCACTTAACAGCCAGTAAGTAGTTTACTGTTAACAGAAATCCAAATATTTATTCTGTTTCAAACATCATCACTTAACAGCCAGTAAGTAGTTTACTGTTAACAGAAATCAAATATTTATTCTGTTTCAAACATCATCACTTAACAGCCAGTAAGTAGTTTACTGTTAACAGAAATCAAATATTTATTCTGTTTCAAACATAATCACTTAACAGCCAGTAAGTAGTTTACTGTTAACAGAAGATTGTTTAGTTGGAATCCACCCTTTTGATTACTCTAGGAAGGTCTTCATCATGTGGACCATTTCACGACACACTAAGCAGCTTGCACTTTTTTTTTTCACAACCAATAGTTACGGTTTGTTTGTCGTGTTGTGATTCAACAATTAAAGTAGAGCTGGACCATTAATACAATAAAGAAAGCTAAACCTCTGAACCTACAGCGACGTATAAGGATTTCTGTGTGGCCCAGGAATTAAACACAGAATGACTCTTCGCTTCTGGATAAGGATTTCTACACAGAATAACATGTTTCTTTTCTTTTTCTAAAACCTCTCTGTGCCTCCCACATCTTGTTAAGGTTGCATTTTATTAGTTTTTTCTTTATGCGAGTTCTAAACTACTTCATTTGTGTAAGTGTAGAACTGCTATCATTTGGAAAGTTGTACAACTCATTATCTAAAGTACAGATTTACGACAGGGTTTCAACCTAACTTGCCAAATTTAACACCATGTGAACTTCAGGAGTGTAAACAAACAATCTTGTCTTGTAATATGTGTTAATCCTAGCTGTGTCCACTCTCATGTGAACAAATGCTGTCTGCCTTGACACACGAGGTACAAAAACATTTGAACGTATGCACTTGTTCATGTGTTAACTGTCCGTGATGATCTATCTAAGTTAAAACTACTATGTGAAATTTCTGACTAAATACATTACATTTTACAGATCTTATCCTGACAGTTGTCTAATGAACATGAAGTTGTGGCTACAGCATTTTATGTTGTCTAACAAACATGAAGTTGTAACTACAGCATTTTATGTTGTCTAACAAACATGAAGTTGTAACTAAAGCATTTTATGTTGTCTAACAAACATGAAGTTGTAACTACAGCATTTTATGTTGTCTAACAAACATGAAGTTGTGGCTACAGCATTTTATGTTGTCTAACAAACATGAAGTTGTAGCTAAAGCATTTTATGTTGTCTAACAAACATGAAGTTGTAGCTAAAGCATTTTATGTTGTCTAACAAACATGAAGTTGTAGCTAAAGCATTTTATGTT